ATTATTGTGCATTTATTGAACTCTTAAATGGTAATAAAGTAAATTAACTGATTTATTTGAATTGTTGTCAAAATTTTTAAAATAATTGTCTGTTTAAATGGTTTAGTGACTAGGTTAGTTTAGTGCCACTAAATAGAGAGCAATGCTTTATAATGTCATCTCTTAAGTTATTTTTGATGTTTAATGACTGTAGAGATCCAAAGAAAAAGCATTTTATAGACGTTTAAAACGTGTCCTCACTTTTGGTCAATATATTTATTTCGATATTATCTTTAAATCTCGAATTGACTTAAACTTTGAAATAACACTAAAAATAAAACAACCACTGGATATAAAATTCTCATGAGATTAATTCTGCAATAAAAGTAAATTTCTCTACATTTAAACATAATTTGATAACTTGTATATTTTAGAAATTTATATTAACTGTTAATAACTTAATTATTCAGAGATTTTTAAAATTAATCATAGAAAATCAATTTTTTTTATATATAAATGTATTTATACTTCAAAGCTAGAGTAAAATTTGTTATTGTAGCATTTTATCTAAATTCAATAGTTGGAACAATAATAGTTATTCAAGTTATATTATGTGATAAATATAAAATTTTTATTAGTAAAATTTAATAGCTAACAAATACAAAAGTACACAAATTGTACACAACTGATAGCTTGTATTTTGTGACCAAACATTAATTTGGTGGCAAAACAAAGTGTTGTCTGAATTGATAATAATCTTGAAGACATAGACATATCGATAGAATTATCAATATTAGAGTCGATCCTATTCTTAAGGAATTACTCTGTTGTTTGGTTTATGTATCGAATAAATTATTATTAATAAAATGTGAAAATAGAGTGCATTCCCAGAAATGCAATATATATTGATATAAATTATAGTAAACTTCAAGAATGAGTTTGCGGTTTGTTTTGAGTCTTATATTGTTTTAATACCAAAAATCAATCTCTGGTTAAGATTTAGTGTGTGTTTGATAGGAAAACATCGCCAAACTTATTTATTTTGTATTGTGTTTTGTGCAATCAATTCAATATTATATTAGAGGTGACAAACATTACATAACTTATAGATGTTCTCCAATTGTTTGACTCATAAATAATGAACATTTCGATCCAATTTTAATCAGAATTTTTTGTTTTAGTTTGATTAAAAATATTTACTTATATACTATCTAAGAGAAAATTTGTTATAATAAAATTGATTTTAAAATTAATTATTAAAATTATTTTCCTCATAAATTATAAAATGTGAAATGAGATTAAATAATATTAAACACACTTTAAAATGTAATAATGAATTGTATTTTAAAGTGTGTAAATTGTTTAGTAGTGTTTAGATTGACTGTGTTATATAATAAACGTAAGCAATAGTTGGTACAGAAGTTGCTTTATATGAAACGATCACAAGATACATAAAAGTTGGTAAAAAAAGTTATGACTTATAAGTTTGGTTTAAGGAGAAAGAGAGCAAATGTTGAGCTAATTGTCAAATTAGTAGTGAAGAGGGAATGTTTGCTGAGAACAGCTAATGTCAGATGAGGTGAAGTCTTAATACATAGGATATGATTGTCTTCGAGTTTATGAGATCTAAGAAGAAAACGTCAAATCGTTAGGATTGCATTGGGGTTTAACACAACTGGCCTTAGGATCAAATTTGTACAGATATCGAAACCATTAATCATAATCTGTCAACTCATGGCTCCTCCCTCTACAAGTTGCCTCTATTTGGCTCTAAGTTGGCTCTAATGTGCTGAGACTCTGTGCCCAACTCTGCTAACTATTCTTCAAATGTGTCACTAAATCTTTTGCTCTTTCTTAATACTAATATAACAAAACCCATAGCAGTATAGAATAGTATAGAATAGTATAGTATAGAAGTTCAGTACTCGTGTATACGGTATAAGCATTGAAATCTTTGTATTTCACTTTTTCTCATTATAGCCATACATTATTGATGCAGAGCTGTTCCACTGAGACCTCAACAAGCAATGCATCCGATGAACAGATAAGCATTTATTGCCAATAATAAGCCCCTCTTATAGTATATAATATATGCCATATACTGTATATGGTATATATTGGGTGAAAAACTGTGATCTGACAGCTTTAAAATGATGAATCGCTTTCCCAACGCACACTATATTAAGCATTCATTTTACACTATATTTCTTCCCAACTCTATTCACACCAAATAAGTATAAATTACTTAAATTTAACCATTAGTTAAATCATTTATAATATAACAGATATACCTTCTGTGGTCATAATAATTGATCGCTTCTAAACAATTCTGTGGATTCATTGTTTTATTCATAGAAATACNTCTTCATCTTCAAGCGAATCACTTCCCTTCCGGTGTCGTCCTTTATCTTCATTTCAAAGCGCCGACCCCTTCGACAACAACGACAACAATTACACGAACAACAACTTTCCTCCTCTTAATACAAATATCAAATCAATTTTAGTGAAAACACATTTAGAAATACTACCCTCAGTAGCCGTCAAAATTGTTTTGCCATTTATGTCTTTGATTTTATATTTATTAAGTTTATCACAACACAAGCATTTGTCACAAACGGATCCCATTATATCAATCTCTTGCTTAACAATAAGCGATTCATAATTCTTAAGAATCTCTAGACTCGCGCCGTTCGTATTGGACGGACCAAATAGACTGAATTCAGTGGTGCCGGCAGTGGTGGCCGTTATGGGCTGTTCAGTCACCACATTCTCGGCACTCATTTTGACGATTACTTTGATTTCTCAAATATAAACTCCAAAATTCCTTTAGTCTATTGTCGACACCCTTTTGAGCGAATCGATCGATAATTCATCAAAATATTGCATTTCAGTAGAGTTTTAGTACTGAAACGATTTAACATAAAAAAGTTTGTTTCTATAACAACATTTAAGATGTTTTGTTTAATCTCTCTAATTGTTTTAATTAACTTTAAGTTTGAAATACTTTGTATAATTAAATAAATAAAACTTTTTACACACTTTATATAATCACTTGAAATTTTTATTTAAAATATGACAGTACAGTCTATCCATTTGAAAATATATAGTGATTGTTGTGTTTGTTTGATCATTACATTACAGTACAGTAACACAAATCATTTGATTTCAATCAAAACAATTGTCTTAAGCGATGGAATCATATAAAGCCTTCGCGTGGTGTGCAATGTGTTGACCAATAAAAGTGGACACAAAGAAGAATGAGTGGTCGTACCCCTCCTGCAAACGGTATATTACGGGCACTTTAGCGCCGGCACACGACTCCACGAAATTCTTGCCCATCAGGTCATCGGCCAAATAAGGGTCGGTTGAGCCCTGTATTAGCAATAGTGTTGAATACTGTATACCTGTAACATATCAAACTTGAAACCAATACACACCTGATCTACAGTACTCTTTACTCTACAGTATGCGGTATAGGCTTTACTGTAAAGCCATTCCCTGTGAAACTCACTTAACTGCCTTACATTAATCACTGCAATGATTGTAAACACAATTAATAAACAAAGTTGT